CCCCCGCCCTGTGACGCCCCCAGCTGACGGGTCGGCAGAGCTCAGGCAGGAGGAGGGGAAGGAGGGGGGGGGGGGGCCTGGCAGTCCACGCAGTTGCTTTGGGTCAGGGCTGGAGAAAGTAAATACAGCTTGTTTTAGTCTTCAAATCATTACACAACAGGAGCAGGAAGAGATTGTTTACAATGCAGTTGGAGAGGGCTGGTGGAAAACATGGCCAGCGAGGCTGTACCCTCAGAATGACTTCATTTTTAAGGCTTCAGAACTTTACAGAACTGGTTCCAAAAAAACAGAGAAAAGACAGGGTCAGGAATAGGATTGTTTACAAAAGGCACCCGGGCTCCAGTTTCATGGCAAGTGGCTTCCTTAGGGCTTGGTCTGCCACCCCTTGCTGGAGATTCTGCTTTTCTCCATGCACGTTTTTCCCCTCCTTGTATTTCTGAGATGTCTTTTGCCATGAATTTCTTCTGCTTTGTCTTGAGTCTGTCCTGTATAAAATTTCTGGATTTCTGTTCGTCTTTGCTGAGGACTTGAAAAAGGGACTGGCTGGGAAATGCCAGGACTTTGAGCCAAGGGGTGTTGAGGGCACTGAGTGCCAACTTCTCCCATGATCTGATGTGCCATTAGTGGTGACAGGGTGACCCGGGCAGGTCCTCAGCACGTCAGCAGTGGAGCATCTTTGGTCTGCGTGCACGGGTATCAAATCTGCCAGCAGCCTTTGCTTTCATGTGCTGCACTCCACTGGAGACGCTGAGGCAGCTGTCTTCTGTGTAGTCAGATCCATTCTAGGAGTCCAAAACAATTCCCAGAACAAAGCTGTGGTCTGTGTCAAAGGAACAGCGTGTCCTGGCTGCAGCCTGACGACACCGCTGTGCTTCCCGTAAAGAGCAGGAGTCCTTTGGAGCCGTGGGCACCTCCCCCTGCTCCCAGAGTGGTGGTTCTGAACTGCTGCTCTGAGTACAGAGGAGGGCAAGGAAGCTGGTGAAGGGCCTAGAGAATCAATCTGATGAAGAACACTTGAAGCAGCTGGGAATGTTTAGTCTGAGGAAGAGGAGGCTGAGGGGAGACCTCATCAGTCTCTACAAGCACCTGAAAGGTCGTTGTAGAGAGGCTGGTGCTGGTCTCTTCTCACAGGTAATCAGTGACAGAACGAGAGGGAAGGGCTTCAAGCTGCACCAGGGCAGGGTCAGAGTGGACATTAGGAAAAATTATTTGCAGTTGGAGAGGGCTGGTGGAAAACATGGCCAGCGAGGCTGTACCCTCAGAATGACTTCATTTTTAAGGCTTCAGAACTTTACAGAACTGGTTCCAAAAAAACAGAGAAAAGACAGGGTCAGGAATAGGATTGTTTACAAAAGGCACCCGGGCTCCAGTTTCATGGCAAGTGGCTTCCTTAGGGCTTGGTCTGCCACCCCTTGCTGGAGATTCTGCTTTTCTCCATGCACGTTTTTCCCCTCCTTGTATTTCTGAGATGTCTTTTGCCATGAATTTCTTCTGCTTTGTCTTGAGTCTGTCCTGTATAAAATTTCTGGATTTCTGTTCGTCTTTGCTGAGGACTTGAAAAAGGGACTGGCTGGGAAATGCCAGGACTTTGAGCCAAGGGGTGTTGAGGGCACTGAGTGCCAACTTCTCCCATGATCTGATGTGCCATTAGTGGTGACAGGGTGACCCGGGCAGGTCCTCAGCACGTCAGCAGTGGAGCATCTTTGGTCTGCGTGCACGGGTATCAAATCTGCCAGCAGCCTTTGCTTTCATGTGCTGCACTCCACTGGAGACGCTGAGGCAGCTGTCTTCTGTGTAGTCAGATCCATTCTAGGAGTCCAAAACAATTCCCAGAACAAAGCTGTGGTCTGTGTCAAAGGAACAGCGTGTCCTGGCTGCAGCCTGACGACACCGCTGTGCTTCCCGTAAAGAGCAGGAGTCCTTTGGAGCCGTGGGCACCTCCCCCTGCTCCCAGAGTGGTGGTTCTGAACTGCTGCTCTGAGTACAGAGGAGGGCAAGGAAGCTGGTGAAGGGCCTAGAGAATCAATCTGATGAAGAACACTTGAAGCAGCTGGGAATGTTTAGTCTGAGGAAGAGGAGGCTGAGGGGAGACCTCATCAGTCTCTACAAGCACCTGAAAGGTCGTTGTAGAGAGGCTGGTGCTGGTCTCTTCTCACAGGTAATCAGTGACAGAACGAGAGGGAAGGGCTTCAAGCTGCACCAGGGCAGGGTCAGAGTGGACATTAGGAAAAATTATTTCACGGAATGAGTGGTTGGACACAGGAACTGGCTGCCCAGAGAGGTGGTGGAGTCACCATCCCTGGATGTGTTGAAGGGTTGTTTGGATGTGGTGTTGGTGGAGATGGTTTAGGGGAGAACTTTGTAGAGTAGGGATGGTGGTTGGACTGGGTGATCCCAAGGGGCTTTTCCAACCTGAATGGTTCTATGGTTCTATGATCCTGTGCCAGCAGGCTGCAGCTTTGTTCCCAAAGCAGAGCGTGGCAGATGTGATTATGAACATGGACCTCACATCTACCTGAAAGTGAGCTGGCCTCATGCCCCAGCATCCTGCCAACACAAGACACGTACGTGTGTGTCCTGTCGGCCAGCTGGAGCCCCTGGCTAGCTGACAAACATAGAGGTCTCATAGAGTCATAGAATGATTCGGGTTGGAAGGGACCTTAAAGTTCATCCAGTTCCAACCCCCCTGCATGGACAGGGACACCTCCCACCAGCCCAGGTTGCTCCAAGCCCCATCCAACCTGCCCTTCAACACTGCCAGGGATGGGGCAGCCACAGCTTCCCTGGGCAGCCTGGGCCAGGGTCTCATCATCCTCACAGTTAACAATTTCCTCTTAATGTCTCACTTAAATCTCCCCTCTTCCAGTTTTGATCCATTCCCTCTTGTCCCATCCATCCCTGCCCTTGTCCCAAGCCCCTCCCCAGCTTTTCTGGAGGCCCTTCAGCTACTGGAAGATGCTCTAAGGTCTCTGCAGAGCCTCCTTATGTTGGGGACCCCAGAACTGGACACTACTCCAGGTTGGGCCTCAACTACTCCAGGTTGGGCCTCATGAGAGCCAAGTAAAGGGGAATGAATCATCTCCCTTAACCTACTGACCTTTTGACCACTTTGACCTCAGCCTCTCGGCACTGAGTATTCCCATTCCAGGTTCAGCCCTCTGGGAGATCCTGCCTTTAGTGCTGGGAAGCTAAGGTAAATGCAGTGTTTGGAGCTGGGTTCCCTCTCCTCTTGGCTGTGGGGAAAAGTGCAGTGGTGCCTTCTCTGAGGGCTTCCCTGGTGTAAGCCAGCTGTGCTTATACCAGATGAAAGACCAACAGTGGATGAACAGTCTGTCTCCTGAACTATCCTCTCCTTGTCATAACACTTTGTTGGTGCATTGGAAAAGTGTTAGTGGATTGTTGGTGGCTTGGAAAAGTGTCTTGGTCTTGGTCTGAAGGTGGCTGCTGAATCAGCTCGTCCTCATGCTGTACTTGGGGTTTGATTGCTCTAGCAGTTGTGCTTTAGGAGCAGGAATTCCTTGAAATGAGGCTGTTGTTGCACGTGGATGCTGAGCTGCCTGGGCACGGTTATATTAATTACCGAGGACAATCTGTGACATGATTTGACGTGGGATTAATTACCAGCATTGAAGAAAATACTGGAACAAGAAGAACTGAACAAACATCCAGAACAAATGCCAGCAGAACTGAAGACCACATTGATTTTTTTATTATTATTCTTTTATACAACAGAAGATCCTGACTGGCAGCCAGGAATAATAAAAACCTGTGTGTCCTTTGGTCATTACTTAATACTTTATTCACTATGAAAACTTCAGATGTCCTCTAGAGCCAGAAGGGTGGGGACTGCTGACCCCAGGTGCTGTAGGTTGGGCTTTTGCTGCCTCTGTCATCAGGTAGTCATGAGCCACACAGGAGTCGTCTCTCTTGGCTTCTGCCTTCCTTTCTTGATCAATCTTGCTGGGGATCATGGTTAGGAGAGTCACTCTGGAGGCCTTCTGATGTGTCACCCTTCTGTGTGACATTCTTTGGTCCACCTGCAGTGTGTAAACACCTCTGACTCTGTGGGCATGCAGTTGTTTGCTGCCTTTTGTCTTCAGAAGGCAGTTTGGAAATAGGCTGTGAGAGAAGATGAGGGAATAAACACTCTTCTGTCTGGCACGACTCCCCAAACAGGCCCTGCAAATCTGTGCATGTCCAGGCATGTTTGTGCACAAACAGCAACAACCCGGGCGGTGCAAAGTCTCTTTGTGAACACACGTGTGTGCTGTTCTCTGTTAAAAGCAGCTCTGTCAGCAGTGCCAGTTCTTTGAGCAATGTAAAGAGTTCTGAGTAGTTCTGAGAAATCTGACATAATTCTTGCTGCCTTGGAGGCTTGTAATTGTGAAGGTTGTCAAGATGGAAGAAAAGGTCAAACAAAAGCTAGAGGGAAGCCCTTGTGAAGGACAACCTCCCAATGGCTGGTACAGTGGGAACTTGCAGTTCTTTTCCCAAGGCGAGTGAAACTGAGATTAAACACTGATCAAAAAGCCCAGTTCCTTATCTGGACCTGATGTAAATACTCTGTGTGGCACCCAGACATGGCCCAGGAGGTGCAGTGGGTTGGAAGTTCTGTTTGAAGCAGTTTGGATGATGGAGGTCCAGTGCTCATCCTGCATGGCCCATGGCAGGGGTGACCTGGTGCTGTGCAACCAGAGAACAAGAGTCTTTTAATGAATTTGGACTTAGTTGTTGTGTGGTGCTGCATGGTCACAGGCTGAGCCCTTAGCATGGATTTGACAGCTCCAAGTACTCATTCCTGGAGCCCAGCACAAAACCATGCTCGGTTAAATTTTGCAACTGGTCAAAAAAATAATCAAGCTGGTTCCTGTTTGTCTTTTAAAATCCGTTTTCAAGCTCTGCTGTGGAGCCAGGAAGATTGGGAGCTTATGCAAATGAACAAGGCTGCTGAGATTCTTCCACAGTCACAGGGCTCCAGGAGCTCTCATTCAAAAATCCTTCCAGCATTGCACATCTTGCAGTGGAGCTGCACAACCAAGCAGGTGGTCATGCAGACAGGTCACTGGGTGCTCCACATGCCTGTTGGTAAATGACCTTCCTCTGGCAGTGGAGCATCAGGCTCTACCTATGCCATGCTGCCAGAACACGTTTTGTCAGACAGTAAGTTCAAAACAGTGTAGTTTTGGTCCTGAGTCATTCATCCTGTCTGGAGCCCCCAGCTTTGCAGACAGAAGAAACTAACTATGACCAGTGACCAGAGTCAGTGTCAGGTTTCTGCAGCACTCCTGTAGCCTGGGACAACAGCCCTTTCTTAGTAGCAAGGACAGTTTTTCCAGAGCTTTGCTGGTCCCACAGGCCCTGCCCTCCTTTCCTGTGTGTGGGAGTCTCCTCCTGCCCCTCCTGCAATCCCACTGGCCTGAGAATGAGCTCTCCAGTCTTGGGCACAGGCCGGGTCAGCTGTGTGAGCCATGACACATGCACAGGGGTGTATTTCCTGGTGGTTAGAGGTGTCTGGCCTTGGGGTGGTGTGATATTACAAAAATACTAATTTGGAATGACCTGCATAACTTGCCTGTGTCTTCAACAGTTGCCAGCTCATCCCAAACATATCCTGACTTCAGACCTCTCCTGGCAGAAAAGCTCTTGGAGGGAGGACCAAGTTCTAGCAACCCTCTGCCCTGGGACCGACCACAGCAGTTTCATGAAGAAACATCTTCATTTTTGCATCTGCTTCAGATCTGAGGCAGACCCACCCCCAAGGTGCCTGGCAGAGCCTTGTGGGGATGGCAGGGGCAAAGCCAGTGTCTGTGATGTCGAGGGGCAGGGATGTCACTTGCTCCCTTCCTGCCATGGGCAGCTGCACCCAGAGCCCTGGGACATGGGAGCACAGGGAGACAAAGGCTCATGCCTGAATTTCTGCTCTGCTTTGCTTTCCACATGCAGCTCTTGCTCAGCTCAGGAGCTGTTGACCTGGTAGCACATTGATGACGTTTCCAGGGGTGTTTTTCTTAATCCTGTTTCCTTACCAGCATTCCCATGGGTCATGGGCAGCAGGGCTGGTCATAGGGTCCATCCCCAGGACAGCACCAGTACCTGACCAGTGTTTTGTAGTGTTTCCTGCCAAATGCCACCCGTTATGCAATGGCACTGTTGGAGAACTTACCATGTGTTTTCCTTCTGTTCCACCATCTGTATCCTGTGTCTGATGAAGCTCTGTCACACCCAGGGCTCTCCTCTCCTCGTGTGTCTGCACACCACCCAGCACAGCAGGGACCTGTCTCCTGTAGCCAAGGTTCCTGGGCACTGCTGATGAAAAAGGTTAATGCTTGAGAAGTGTAGCCTAACATTTCCTGCTGTTCTCCTCAGCTGTCCTAGTGATCTCATCCTGCATTGCCATGGGATATGTCGTGTGCCCTCATCTTTGGGAGAACAGCTTGGGAAGGACTTCAGTTACAAAACAGCTGAGATTCTGGTGCTTTGGGCAATTTGCAAGCTTTACTGTTGGTACTTAACAGTTGATGCAGCAGTTGGAGGAGAAACAGGCAATTTTTCTGGCATGTGCAGTGCTACAAAAATACTCCTGTCTTTCAATAGACCCTTGCAGTGAAGTTTTGCAAGGAATAACCAAGAAAAAGTGTATGTTTTTTATTTTGCTGCCATCTTGAGCTCTCACCTCCTGGCACTGGGGTGAAGCCCAGCTGCTCTTGTGGCAGGTGAGTAGTGCCCTCAGCAGGGAGCAGAGCTGGTGCTCTTCTCTGCAGCTCATCAGGCTGCTCAGATCCTTCCAAGCAGCAGCAGCCCCTTCATCCCCTCCTGCTTGGAGTCCCTGAGCTGCTGAAATCAGGTGTGGCATTTGCTTCTCCTTGCAGCAAGGAGGGGCCAGAGGATACAGTCTGGTCTGTGTGAACAGTTCTGGTTTACTTTACACATGGGCTAAGGATGAGTTGTAGCCAGATGCTATAGAAGAGGGAAAGA